ATGACAGATATGAATATATGTGGCCTAAAACAAGAAAAATATTTTAMAATCGGAAATAACCTTTAAAAATAGAGAGCAGTGTAGCAGACCCATTCAGTGAATCATTAAACATGTTTGCACATTACAAACTATTTAAAAGAATTAATAAAAACTCTTTGTTACAAAGGCTTTTGTACTTCGCCTTTTAGAGCCTGGGTGGCAAAAGAAATTACCTTTGACATTTAATTTACACCCACCTGCAAATTTGAGTGAATTTAYTGTTAAAAATGCACTAACCCTACTCTGCATTAAACGTTTTTCCTGACAGATTCTGATTATTAGTGGTTGTTTTGTTAAAAACTGCTTGTATCCAAGCTTGCGGCAGAATGTTTGACATCAAGTTCATCCTTTTTACGTAATTAAACACATCAAGATTGGAAAAATCATTAAAGCAGATTTACCAAGCTGATAACCTGAGATGTGACTGTTTGAAGGGTCAGGCTTTTAAGGTGATACAAAAAAGAAACACGTAATGTCAAAATATTTTACTTACTTTTCTGTTTTGCCTTTTTAACTTTCCTAAAAAGAAAATGAAAAAGAAACATTTTAAAAGCAGATCCAGTGCAGCTCTTCACGACTGAATTATAGCTCAGAAAGTAATTCATCACAAATATGAACATTTTTCTTTGTTTCTGTGCAAACATTAAACTTTTGTTTATGTGAATTGGATTAAATGGCAATTTGTTGAAACATTTAATATCTGTGAGTAACATTCTTAGATATTTTATGTTTATTCTTGCACAAAAACTGTTTTAGACTAACTAGATTTTACTGCAATGTCTTTTCTGCCTTGTGTAAACAATGATGAAGTATTTGGACATGAAGCCAGATCCATAAAAAAAATCCAAAAGCATAAAAAACAAACCTTCAAACTTCAATCAGTTTGATGAAATATAAGAAAAGGGTGAAAAACTTACAGTTCAACATTTTTCTGCTGCACAGCAGCAATTTTCTTGCTTGGTGCTAAACCCCTCATCTTTCCCTCAACATAATGATCCCTGAAAAGGAAAAACATGACAGAATCACATAAARTCATCCTGCCTTACTTTAACTTTGAAAAAGAAAAAAATAATCAACAAATGAAGCAACAAATCAGTTCCTCTAAGAAGCTGCGATGCTAAAATCCCAATTTTGTCCCCATAATTTTCTTGTACACCAGTCTATAATGAAAATAGTCTATTCTAATACGACCATTATGCAAATGGCTCAGACTTGCAATTCTGAWTGAGCAGCAAAACATTTCTGCATCTTTAGCCTCCTCGCTAGCTTCAAAATCTGAGTCTGAAAGATGTAAACACGTCCGCTACCAGAAGTTCACATTTGCTACAAATCAAAACAGTGAGAATCAAAACAAATCAATCTCCTGAARTTTGAAAGTGGCAGAAAATTGCTCTGCAGCACATTCAACACTGTTGTGTAMCAAAGTCAAAAATGCCATTGTCGTGGCAGAATTTAWTAAGAATGCGGAAACACGTTGGAATAAACGCACAAAAGTCTGTGTGTATGGCCGTCAACGATGATTTTAATKGAGCAACAACAGAACAGAAGTCGATCAGGGAAATCTTTTTTATTTTGCAAAACATGTCGAGAACACCTGAAACTACAGACACAACAACAGAGGCTGAGGATGTTTTGAAGCTTCTCGTTTTACTTGCCTGAGTTGGAATTCCAACTCAAACCTTGTTGATTAAAATTTGAAYGTGCTTTAAAAAAGGTTTGTGCCACAAATTCTCTCAAAAATCTCAGAGACGTTGTGAATTCTTCTTCCTTTTTCCATCTTCTTCTGGCTGTTTTCTCTTCAGGAGTCACCACAGCAAGTCATCCACCTCCACCTCACTCCAATTACCTACATGTCCTCTCCAATTACCCTAAAGTTTCAGTAAATTCTACAGCTCTGGAGCTGTTTTCACACATCTCTGACAGAAAACATCTGAGCCAAGTGTCCAGATCTCAAAACCACCGCAATGACAARTCACAAATTTTACCAACTGTAGTGGATCAAACAAGGGGTGGTGGTTGATCAGTGGTCAGCGCCACGGTCTCATAATCCTGAGGCTGTAGGTTTGAGCTCAGGCTGCGAAGAGAAGGGCATCCGGTGTAAAAGCACTGCATTATTGTTTGTCCACTCGCTGTGGTGACAGCTGTAGAAATGAGAAGCCAAAACTGGAAAATAATCCAACCATAAATATGGGATCAGCTACCAAAGCAGGTACAAAGCAGGATGAGGTGGATAAGATGTAGAGAGTGACATAATGTGCAGCCTAAAATTCATAAACTAGCCACTGAAAACCCAGCAACACATCTCTAAAAACTCAGAAAATTCACAAATGTTCACCAGTCACCAGCCTTTACAGTAAGTTACAATCCTAAGGTCAACAAAATGCGGGGGCCATCTTGAATTAGATCAACTCTAAAAATTAATCAGACATCTATACAATAATTACTCTTTGACAGTCATAAAAATTCATCCAGTGGTTCATTAGATATTTTGCTAAAAGACAGAAAACGCTGGCAACTACATGATGGCCCACCATCGTGAAAGACGAGTTTTAAATAAGTCTCACAGAACTGCAGCAAAGAAGAATACTGTAACATACAATATTTTATGGACAGTTTCATTAACACTATTTTTGTAAGTTCATTTTAAAAAGAAAAAAAGCAGGAAAATACTGCAACGCTCGGATTTCATGCCACACCAATCACAAAGAACGCAGCGAAGTCCTGGAGGGACTGAAGACTAATTAATTACGACTAGAACTCAAATTGCTCTCTTTAGCTTTTGCTGAGATAAACATTTGTATTCATGTGACACACTGAGGCTGACACTTACTGATTGGCCTTTTGAAGCTCTCTTTGTTTTGCGAGGTTGCTGTCCACATATTTGAGAACTCTGCTTTCAGGAACCCATTCATCCCAGCTACAACATAAAAACAACAACATCACAGACCTTGAAACAGTTTATTGACACCGTAAGAAACACCAAAACAAGCACAGGCAGTGTAGATGTGAGGAAAGCATAGATACTGAAAGTGACTCAAAACTAAGTTACTCACTTTTTGTTCCACCCGCTGTAGTGAATGAAATATTTAATCTGCTTATCCTTTATGCTGGTTTTCACACACTGCAACGACAAAAAAAGACAACACACTGTTCAACCTGACTGTGTCAAAGTTATTAGTAAAGACAGACAAACATGTGAGTAAAACCAACCTTTGCCTCATAGAGCAGTGGGCCATGAAAGCACAGGACTCTTTCACCTGGTAAACAAATGATTTCATGTTAGCTAAAATTGCAACCATGTCAGCTACATTTTTATTCAACATATGTCAAAAACAGTGACGATTCATATGATATTTGAAGCCCTCTGTCCACCATTCTGCCCTCTTTCGTCTCGACTCAGAACACAATAAACAAWAACAAACCCGCCCCCCAGCCTTGATGCTAGCAGCCGTCGTCCGTGTGGTTTCAGGCGGTACAGACCTTCTTGAAACTTCGGTTTAGGGTCCTGTTTTGGCGCCATTCACAGCCTCAACTGGTCGGATCTCTGACCGATCAAATTCGTGCATTGCCAGAGTCCATTTCTTCCAGGAGCGAACCCGTCCGACATCGGAGCCAAAGCAAAAGACGAAGCCGCGAGAGAATGGCTGGCGGTGCGCTGGCTGATGATGCGGGTCACGTGACCAGCCGTGGTGCGTTCGAGTGCTGGTTCGAAAACTCCGGAAATATAAAAATGTGTCTTTCTTTCAACATCCCGGCCAATGGTTTGTGTGATTGRTGTAGTGTTGARGAAACTATGGAACATGTTTTTATTGGTTGTRGGACATATAAGAGTCGAAGAGGAATGTTAAGATTGGAAATGGGAAGTACTGGAGAATTAATGTGATCGCACAGTTGAATAGTGATGAGGGGAAAGGAAAGTTTTTTTTTTTTTTTTTGAAGATACTGGTCTCATTAAAAAAGTTAAGAGGGAGGAAATAGAATGATTAGATAAGTCCATAAGATGGCAGTGATGCTACTGTGATGGATACAAGCTGCCTTTAAAAAACAAAGAAGAAGCCTTTCACTCAATCAAATGAGGTGTGCTGGAGCAAAGAAACCTCTATAACAGCTGTCAAACGCCTCCTCAAGGGCCGCTATCTATCTGGTTTCCTTGCTCAAACTCACCTGATTTGCATAAATAGATAATAATGCACAATTTTATTTGTGGGCACCTATCAAAACTCCCAAGGTTGCCTTAAAAACCAAGGACATCCCACAGGACTAAAGTCTTTATCTCAGTAAATYAGAGTGAACTCATACCACGATTTTGCCACCCAAAGTAAAAGCTCTCTTGTATTACGTGTGAACCAAATTTTACATCTAAATTATCAGAAAATATATTCTGCCTAATAATTCAGGTGCTTGTTTCTTTGTTTGCTTAAGTTTTGATGATCAAAAACATTTCACAGTTGAAGYCACTGAATTTGTTTCTGCGTGTTGATGTCTAGTCAAAGGATTGTTGCACAGTTTAGATTTTGACAGTATTATCAGCAAGACTTTCTAACATTATAAATGAAGAAAAGGTTGGTGCCGAACATCCATCACATGGACCATGTGCCTTTGTGGCCAATTTGATCATAATAAATAAATAAGTAATAATAAAGAAGCATGCTGTCAAGTCACATATTTTTGTATTTAAATCCTAAAAGAAGTGACAGATTCGATTTGAACAAGATTTATGCCTCTTCTTTATTTGTCAGGCTTAACAGCTTTGGATGAAGGACAGGTTCATTTAAATGTTATCTCCTCACAGTTAATGCAGTTCTACTGGTCTCTATAATRAACACTATCATTCAGCAGCACCTCTAGTTTGGAAATGTATCTGTATCCATGTCTTGCAGTTGTCTAAAGAGGAAAAAAGGAAGCTGATCAGTTAAAGGTGTTAAAATTTTGGYTTCAGAACACAAAATTATTACTGTGGTGTACATCTCATTATTGTGTACTACAAACACTAGACCACAAAACTGCATATGTTGATTTTTTTTATTAGTACTGGAAGACCTCCAAATGGATCAGATGGCATTTATATAAATTCTTCATCAGTTGTGAGTTACTAAAATACACATATATAATGAATAATGAAAAGAAAAGCACTAATTTGTCTGTTTTTACTCGTGATTTATTATCCCTTCATTCATTCACTCATCCATCTATTATCCATCCATTATCTTAACCCACTTCTTCCTTTCAGGGTCATAGGGATGATTTATTGTATATTTTTGTTTTTAAGATGTATTCAATCAAAGTTTAAGAAAGGCCAAAATCTAATAAATCTATTAGGAGTCTGAAAGGGATTCATCTTCAGAGATTTGGTCTCGTCCTCCTTTGATAATGACTCCTATTTTGTTCCCAACCCTTGAAAGAAAAGTGTTGTTGTGCATCTTTAAAGTTTTCCTCCTCAGCTGAGCCCTCTTTCCCCAGAAAAAAATGTTCAGTGCAGTAAAAAGACYTTTGCCATGAAAGACTGCACTGAACACTGTCTGAACAGAAAGCGCATGCAGGTATTTTCAGCTGCAAGATGCAAACACTTGGTTTTACATAGAAAAAGACAAAAATATGCATGCAGGTTTTAAGTTACATTTACTGACAGAATAAAAATATAATCAAACAACTCTTGCTGATTGTTGAATTTGCTACTTAGTGTTTTCAAATGGAAAAAAAAGTATAAAGTGCATTTTTATTACATAACTTTATTGGAATTTAACCAAATTGTARTTTTGTTAAAACAAAACAGAGATTGTCCTTCGTCCTGTCTGCGTCACAGATCTGAACTTTGCTGGTTTCATRCAAAAACACTGACCTGTGAGTGCCGAGCAGCACCTGCATTTAACCAGAATTAACAAACATGAACACATCCAGGATCAATTATGTTGAGGCTTTGCCCTTTAAGCACCATTGTGTCGAGTCAAAGATGTTCCAGTGCTGAGAGCTTTTAAGAGCCTTCTGCCTGTGATGAGACTGCTGAGCTTTTATTGTTGAAGCTCTCTWATGCTGCTCTGTCACAAAAAACAGGAAAAGAAAAACAAGAAAAAACATGGTGATTGAATGAAAACCAAAGGTTCAGAGTGAGTCAACCTCAGTGTGTGATGGGGGATTAAAAACCTGCAGGTTCAGACTTTGCAGCAGCTGTTTCCTCTTTTTGTTTCAGCTTCCATGTCTGAAAACCATAAATTATAAAATATTCTCCTCTGTCTGAATTATTGAAGGGGGATCTGCATGACCTTGCTGATCAGTGCTAAATAACAGCTCACAGCAGACAGACAATTTAATGTAGACATCTTGAGCAATGTGTTGGAGCTTAAAATATGAGCTAAAAGTGCCTCTATGCCACTAACAATTGATACCTGTAATACTGACAAACTTAAAGGCATTTCTGGGTCGTTCTCTCAGGACTTCATTTTCTTCCTCACTGCTCCTGGACATGATCCTGAAGAGGTCAGCGTGTATTTATCCTCAAATAACAAAAACGAAAATACACAATGAAATCTTTTTTTAAATTTATTTGAAGTTTTCAGTAGCTTTGGATATTGGATATTGTTTTCTTTTCTGCTTTAATTTCCCAGATTGCAAAACTAAACCTTAGTCTTTTTGTTGTTGTTGTTGTTGTTGTTGTTGTTGTTGTTGCACACATGGCACCAAAGTATCGCTAGTTTGAAGCCTTTGTACTTTACCATTGGGTATTACTAACTAAAGGTGCTCTAAATTATTACGTAAATTTGATACTGATTACATTGAAACAGCAAAAAGTTTCTATGACACAGTGTTTTTATGCAGGTTCTCAAAAAATGAAAGTACAAAAAAGTGTTTAATGAGCAGAAAAAGATGTACATCACATTTACTCTGAGTCATTTAGCTGATCAGCTAAATGACTCAG